AAAGTGTTGAGTTGGTAGTATATTTAAGATGAATAAATAAATAAAAGATATTGTGATAAATATGATTGCTTATATGTCAATGCTAATGCGACCGTAGTTTTTTCTGAAGACTTTTGGTTTCAGTGGGAGCAATGGTAGACAAAACGGGGCGGAGAAGTTCAAATGTTACAATTTTGTGTTATGAAAAATGCAAGTGAAAAATTTATTGTATCAAAGGAAATTGTATCTGCCACTAGAATGAACCACCAGGAATTCTGAATAGATGGCTTTGGGAAAATGAGAAGAGTTTGATCAAACAACCCTATATTTGGTATGTCTTTCATTTTTCTCATATGTTGCTATAAACACAGTGAATATGACGACCATGGCAATGATAAATGAGAAACATTCAGCTTCAAAAAAGATATTTACAATGGAAACATTGTTCAACATAAAAATGACGGAAGAAAGTTCCGTGGCTAAAACATTTGAACAACTTCAATTCTACGACAAATCAGTCATATTTTGTGGCCATCAAGTTCGATGACAAGGTCAGGACACAATCAATTCTATTTTTATTATCAGGTAGCTAGGATGGACGGTCATGACGGTACTTAAAATTTGATGACATTGCGGGTTAGTCTTCAACTTTTAATTTATATTCTTGAATAATAACAAATTAGACATAAACATAATGCCAACCATTTATGACCCCATGCCCAAATCCTTATAAAACATTTTGAATTTTCCCCTGAATTTTAGTGGTAAAAAGTAAAATAAAAAAAAAAAAACACTAAAATTTGAATTTAAATAAAATATCACGACAAATTCTGTGCCGTTACTATTTCCTCTGAAGCCCAAAGTCAAAAGAAGTGACTCTTCAGCCACTATCAGCTAAAGTTCCGCCTTCCTCATGTTTGTGGACGAGCAACGCTTGTTCTATTCCACCCTATATAATATTAATATTTGTCAAATATATAACATTTCTTAGGTCCTCTTTCACTAACGAGCCAAAAAATGCATAATTAATTGCATAAAAATAGAAAAAAATAAAGCTTTTACGGGCTTTAATCCGCACATTTGATTTCCTTAATGTGGGACTGTTGACATTTAGTCAGGTGTCTGTTGGTGGCACTAAATAAAAGATATAAATAACAAATGTCATAAAGGGGTTTTTGGATCTGTTTTTGATATGGACGCAAAAGATTAAAACTTTATTTAAGAAATATAAAAGGTATTGGGAGGTGGGAAAAGACCTAACCACCTGTCCAACTTTTATATTTTGGAAAAAAATATTTCGTTGTGGGAAAAAATTTGTGTACGTCAAGGGGTATGCAGAGATGTGTACATAATAGGGGGTAAACGTAGTTTATACGGGGATTACAAGGGGGTTATAACCCGTTGTATCTCTCGTGTAACTCTCGTGTAACCTCCCATGTAACTCCCGTGTAACCCCGCTATAACCTTGTAATCTCAATGGATAAAATAAAAGCGCGGGTTACAGCTGAGTTACACGAAAGTTACAAGGAAGTTATAACACGTTTGTAACCCCCATGTAACTCCCATATAACGCCCGACGTTCAGACATTATATAGTAATTTTTTACGCTTTTGTGTTTGTTGGTAATACTAATAATCACCACCGACACATTGTTCAAGTTCAATTGATCATCTTTGTCTCACTATCGTTGCCCAATTGCCGCAGTTTATTTGTAATTATTCATCCTAATTTGTTTGTCGTTACATATTATCATTACTTGGCCGCACTCACTGGATGCCTATCTCGAGACCATAACATCGTCCATCAACGATATTGATATGTAGGGGTTTTTATGTCTTTTAATTGTCATCATCACATTTAATTGATTATCTAATATTCTCTGATTGATTAGCAATCAGAGATTAGGCTTATGCTTCATACTTTATGATCACGTATTCTCTAATTGAAGGAAATAGTGATTTTATATAATTTACTTATATATGACGAATTACTTTAATTAGTCAAGCGCCAAGCTTTTTTCTCATAAGAGTTATGATGTTTTGCATGTATAAATATGAAGCTCGGATATTAGTCTTTTGACGTATTTATATGCACACCACACAATTCTTATGTATTTACATATTTAATGCAAAAATAGTCATACTTACTTCTATGCCACTCAAATCATTAACATCAGATCAAACATATCAGCTTTATTTCCTTTTTAAATATGAAATACATTTTTTCATGTGTAGATTTATGATACTAAGATGCAAATATGTGCATATCAAAATATATATGGGTGTTAGATATGTAAATACGTAAAAATTGTGTGGTATGTATGTAAACCATAAAGAAAAATATAAGCATTTACGTTCTTGCAATGGTGCATGTATAACCTTGAAGCTCAGATAATTGTTTTCTTTGGCATTTATATACACACCACACAATTCTTATATATTTACATATTTAACAACGAAATATTCATCGAATTTTTAACATCAGATCAAACATATCGGCTTTATTACTTTTCTAAAGTTAGATGCAGCTATTCTTGTATAAATTTATGATACCAATTGCAATAAATGTAAGTAATATACTTTATATTGAAAATATATAAAAGTTGTGTGGTCTCTCTCTCCCACACTCGCACACACATAAGAGCGTGTCAATATGATTCAATTTTACATTTGATAGTTCGCAATCATACCAACGGATAGCTTGAACTGTTTCTCATTTTTTCCCCAACTTACTGGAAGCCCGATTACACCTCGCGCCTCCTTCCTTTTGTTCGAGATGCCATATGGTGGCCCGACTGGTGTAGTCATTCGCTTGGTGGTGAGACTTAGCTTGTTGAACACATGATTGAATATCACATTTACTGAGCTCAGAGTACCGATGATAACACTACCAACTTGATAATTGTTGATTATAGTTGTGATCACAATAACATCATTATAGGGATTTACCTTTGGCAGCAGATCCTCATCAATGAAGTAAATAGGCTGGTGGCCCTTAGGTTATGAGGGGAAGGTCGCAGCTCAGAGCTCCCCTATTTGTTGTTTCTTCCGACTTATCCTCCCTGCTGGTTCGCTCGCTCCAAATATGACAAGCACGTATCCTATGATGAGGATGGCATTCACGATGATAGATTCGTTGACTGTTTCCCCAACGAGAGCTTTGTCTTGCCTATGGGTTGTGGGCCTAGGGACGATGAATTATTTCAGCTCACCCTTCTTTATCAACTCTTCAATCAAGCTCTGGAGGTGTCTGCATTCCTCCGCATCGTGCACCTGGTCATTCTGATAATTGCCTTATCTCCCACTATCTCACAGAAATACTTCACATCTCATTGGTGGTACTTTCTTCAAGAATTCATTATCTTGAATGACATCATTATTTCATAACATTAAAATTTGTGCAATGAGATATATAAATAATATTTTTTTGTGTTATATATATATATATATATATATATATATA